GGTCTGCTAGATCCAGGTTCTTGCTGTAGAAGCTGAGTGGGTGATTTTGGACCAGTCACAGACTTTCAGCTTAACCTACTTCACAGGGTTGTTGTGCAAGTCAAAAGGGGGAGAGGAGAATGATGTCAGTTGCTTTGGTCCCCATTTCAGAGAAAGACTACTTTTCCTCCTGGAAAACCATTGTTGCCAATCTCCAGGTGAGGGCTGGAGATCACTCAGAATTACAACTGCTCTCCAGATGGCAGAGATCAGTTCTCCTGGAGAAAATGGTGAACTCTGTGGCAGTCAGGGCTTCACAGAATGGAAAATGGTTGGCTCTGTGGCAGTCAGGGCTTCAGAGCACGGAAGAGGCTGCAGGTTTGTGTGGGGGGAAATGGAAAGCTGAAGAGAGAGGGGGAAACAAAGGTCAGTTGATGCTTGGCTGGGAAGGAGATAGGATTGCCAACTCCAGGTGGGAAATTCCTGGAGATTTGAGGGATGGAACCTTGAGAGGGTGAGGTTTGAGGAGGGGTGGGACCTCAGACTAGTACAATGTAATAGACTCCACTCTCCCAACCAGCCATTCCCTCCTGGGGAACCATTGTTCCCAATCTCGGGAGAGGGGTGGAAATCAATCAGAATTACAACTGATCTCCAGGGGGGAGGAGATGCAAGGCTGAAATCAGAGGGGCAGATAATGGCAGGTTGATGCTTGGCTGGGAAGGAGATAGAGTTGCCAACTCCAGGTTATGAAATTCATGGAGATTTGAGGGGTGGAGCCTGGAGAGGGTGAGGTTTGAGGAGGGTGGGGCCTCAGACAGGTACAATGCCATAGACTCCACCCGCCAGACCAGTCATTTCCTCCTGGGTAACAATTGTTGCCAATCTCCAGATGAGGGCTGGGGATCACTCAAAATTACAACTGCTCTTCAGGTAGCAGAGATCAGTTCCTCTGGAGAAAATGGTGAACTCTGTGTCATTAGACCCTACTGAGGTCGCCACAGCACATTGATGCTGAGTGCCCAAGGCCTTGGCACTCTCTCAGAGCCTCTTTCTAGAGCTCGTTGTATTTATTTCCACAACGGGCCTTATTCCTAGTATTTTAATAAAAGCCATACATTTTTAAAATGGGAAGAGCAACATGAACAAATAACCTAACAGTTTAACACTTCTATGAAAATAAAATTGCTCAATCTAGGTTTGAATTTATTTAGATATATCCCATACCATAATGTCATGAAAGGCTTTTTTTTCCCTTTAAAGCTTATTCTCCCTTTTATACAACTGCTGAGGTTGCATGAATGTCCACATTTGATTGATTGTGATCCAAAATTAAGGTCAAGGAAGTATGAATTTACTTAATGTCTGGACTTCATTTTCACTCTTCTTTTCATTACTATAGTCCTACTGTAACTGTCTGTGTATATAGATTCACATGGGTAGCCATGTTGGTCTGAAGCAACAGAACAAAGTTCGAGTCCAGTGGCACCTTTAAGATCAACAAAGTTTAATTCTAGGTATACGCTTGGTCTGTGTATATGATACAAGTCCACAAAAGTACATAAAAGGTATAGAATCTAGTACTCATTCATAATTCTGCTTCTTGAGAAGCACAGGTTTTCATTTATTGCAAATATAGAATTCAAAATGTGTGGGCAATGCCTTCTGACTTTTTTAAGTCAGAAGGATGGCTTTGAGCAGGGCTTCAATGCTTTGCAAAGATTCTAGCACCTGTGAATAGTGTGGCCAGAAGAAGGTAAAATTAAAGCATAGTTTATGCAAGTTAAAGAAATTAGTTTTTTCATAACACAATATTTGTACTGAATCTCACAATTATAGCAATGCACACATTCCTTTCCCTCCCCATATCTCCTTCGCCGTGTTTGAGAAAATAAGGGCAAGGCAACAAACAAAACCAGACTTCCTCATTCTGGTATCATGTTCTCCAGCCAGAGAATAGCTTAGGAAGGAATGAATTATGTCAATGAAATGAATTCCCTCTTTTCCAATTAATGGAGATCTTGTTTCTCCTTTCTTCCAACATCCTATACCAGATCACTGTCACTCTCACCACACTCTTGTATCAGCAATATTTGTTTATTGAGAAGTGAAAAAGTTCCAAGCATGGACAGATGCTGTGTCAGAACTGACACCCAGGTGTCAGGACCGTGCCTATACTACATACAAGACATCCCCCCTAAGGCACACTACCCAATCAATATTCTCACCCAGCCCGCCAAAGATTCAAACTTGCCCAAAGGGCCGCCCCCCTGCACCTTCACCTGCCACTAACCATTAACTTATCTAGAGCTTCCCTGTACTCAAGGTCAGGGTGGGCACTGAGATCATACATTTCCCAGGCCTCGTAGACTAGCCAGAAAGATAAACAGCATGTAGATGAAAACAGAGGACTGTTCTCCTTAACAGGCAATTAACCCAAGGCCACATAGTCTGAGTGCATGTAAAGGTAAAGGTTCCCTTGCTCGAAAGCCAGTCGAATCTGACTCTAGGGTTGCGGTGCTCATCTCCGTTTCCAAGCTGAAAAGCCAGCGCTGTCCGAAGATGTTTCCATGATCATGTGGCCGGTATGACTAAACACCAAGGTGCATGGAACGCTGTTACCTTCCCACCAAAGTGGTACCTATTTATTTACTTGCAATTTCTTGCTTTCGAACTGCTAGGTTGGCAGGAGCTGGAACTAGAGACGGGAGCTCACTCCGTCATGCGGCAGTCGGGTCTCGAACTGCTGAACTACTGACCTTCCACAGCCTGCAGTTCAGCGTCTTAACCACTTGAGCCACCGCAGCTCCTCTGAGTGCATGTAGGCCACACTAAATGACAAGTGAGGCTCGGGCTTGACAATCACTGAAGGAAGAGGAAGGTACGTCTTGCCATAAGCAAGTTGTCTTTGAATATAATGCATATTAAATATGTAATTCACAGTGCAATCCTAAACAGAATTACACCCTTCTGAGTCCATTGAAAATCAAGTGCTTTGAAGTGTGCAACCCTGCTAAGTATCACATGGTTACTTTTTTGTACAAAATAAAACAAAAGCTCAAATCAGAATTAAATTATCCTTTAGTAAAGCAATTTTCCCTTTCAAAATTAGTACAGTCAAGGTACCTAAAAGAAACATATTTCAAATTGCACGGAAGGTTCAGAGACTATATTACAACATAGTTTGACATACACAGGCAGGCTTGCGTACACTGATAAAGTCTGCACCCTCAAGATTAATTAATTGCAACAGTGTGTGATTCAGTTCAAGAAGCTATAATGGTCATGAAGTGAGAGAGTTCTCTTAAAGACATACCTGCCAAATTCTCTTTCTCTTCTTTTGAAAGCAGCTGCTTTTTTTGTAAGCTCAAGTTTTTCAGAGCAATTTCCAGCATTTCTGGGGGTGATGCCAAACATTCTATAGCTTTTTCAAGAAGCTGTTTACACTTTTTAATATTTCCTAATACAAAATAAAACATGCTTACAGAACAAAGCATAATATATTAAATAAATCCTTTGCCAAAAAGCTGCTAGATATTATTTTGTAGAAGGTTACCTTCCCCCCCTTTACAGCATCCTCAGCTGTTATCTTGTATATTTTCTGAAATGGAGCTTGCTTTGGCACTGAACATTGATATAAGACTCTCTATTGGAACAGAAGTTAGTAAACCAGAGGACTTAATTCTGCTATTTGCATAATTTACTACATATCTGAAGGCAAATAACAAGATTTGGGTGTTCATGTAGACTTTTTGGAAATTCCAAAAATGCATATGTCTTCTCCACCTGCAAATTGTATTATGAACTAGACAAGGAGAAAATTGATGTAAGCCGCCGTGAGCCTGTTCACGGGGAGGGCGGGATACAAATGGAATAAATAAATAAACAATATTGAATACAGATACCATATTGGTACTGAAGAGAGAATCAAAGCAGATAGAAAAACAATGCAGTCTCTCTGTCATCACTGCCTTTGAATACTAAATGCAGCAGCATCCTCTTTGATATGTTGGCACATAAACTCTTGCCAGTACCCATAGGCTCTAGCAGAAATTAACTTCCCTCAGAAGCAAAAAGTTATCTCTAATTCTTAATGACGTGATCTTCTTATCATCCTAAGATCAAGCTGCACATCTAGGAGAGTCAGCATCACATTGATATTCTGAAACTCCAGATAACACAGGAAATTTTCCAAAGAATACACTGAAGCAGTTCTATTGAACACCACTATATTACTCAACATACTTTTTGGAGTATGAAATCTTGTGGAAAGCAAATGCAATACTAGATCAGTATTTGCACAGCTACCAGAAATGCTTTTTGCCTATCTCGCTACTCCATGGATTACAGTTTGTACTGTTCCTCATGGAAGGTGTGGCAAAACAGGGACCTGCCCTCAGCCCTGGGAGACTGAGCAGCCATTCGGTGGCTCGCAAGCCCCTATTTTCGCCTGCCCACCCTGCCTGGTGGGACTATTTCCTTTCCACAGTCACTGCCACCACTCACTGAATTTACACCGCCTTCTTAGAGGGACAGTGAGACAAGCCAAGGAAGTGGATAGCTTAATCTTTGGGCACCCCCTGGAGAGTCGGCAACCCCTCTGATTTGGGCCTGTTTGGCTTCCCTGGTCTTCCTTTGCCCTAAGTAATGTGCTGAGCAGGGAAGACTATGTGGTCAAAGCACTACAAGGTTTTATAGTTCAAAAAGAAGGTTCAATTAAACTATGTACAAGGTTAGGCACAGACATATACTGCTGCCCTCCTGGCTCTCCACCACAATTTATAGTGGCCGGGATGGCACACAGAGTGTGAGGTAGCAGGAGTCCCACCAATACTAGACTGTTTCTCTGCAAAGTCTACAACATCCCAAGTAAAAACATGGTAAGTTAGACATGTTCAGTCATGTTCATCAAATCCTACACACCAGAGAACTTTCCACCCACTATTGTGGAGCAGCAAGTAAGAAATTTAAGTTCCATGAGAAATTTGTGGTGCAATATTGAGCTTGATTCTTCTTGATAATCTTTCTTCCAAGAATTGTAATTTGCATTACCATTTTTATAACTGATGCAAGGATTGGGGGGGGGGGAATAGCCAATAGAGAGAAATAGCCAACACTTTTTTGGTAAATCATTTATTACTCCATGATAAATGGTTATCCAGCAGCCATTCCCAGGTCAAATTAAATGTAATTTATGTTTCAGACTGTGGACTGAAAAAAATTAACAAAAACCCCCAGTTAAGTTGATATTTGCAAAAAAACTCATTAAAATGTTTTTATACACAATAATTTACAGGTATTTTATTGTGTACTTTAAATTGGGGACCTGTATATCCTAACAGCTGCAAATAAGTTGACAGGACCTTGACCATATTGTACTTCCCCCAGATTAATTATACATAATGCAAATATTGATGGTAGGTCAGTTATTCCATGTCAAATCAACAAACTTTGGCACATGATTCAGTCATGGTATTTGCTGAAATTCTGCACCACAAATTTCCTACAGAAAACCACTTGGCTCCTCCGCAATGGATGACAGATGAATACAGACTGTACCACATAGGAAATGCTGACTTCTTAAAATGCTAATACAGACAGATGTGGCTAGTTCTGTAATATTCCATGATTGCTGGCACTCATTCTATTCTCATGGGATGAAGACACTCCTACGTCTCCATACATTGCTGTACCACTTTGTATATAAACATTCCAATTTTAATTTGGCTACATACCACATTAAAACACGCTCCCACTGAGTATAACATTCTCTACTGAAGTGGACTTTGGTGGCGGTGGGCTGTTAATGGATCCTATAAATCCCATCTCCTAAGCATACACCAGTGACAGTTGCAATGAAAATATAATATGCTTTCCAATGTTGTTGCAAAATTGATACACAGTAAACCCTTGCTATTTGCATGAATCCTTCTCCTGGGATCACCACAAATGGCAACATTTGAATACTGAGAGGCAAGCAGAATCTGCTGCCTTTAGGGGCAGACTGGGAGGCCAAAGTGGCCTTCGAAAGGTCCAGTTCCCTCGCTCTCATGGAGGGAAGCATGGACTGGGGGAGCTGTATGCAGCATTTGGCTTGACCGCAGCATTGCCCAGCAAGTTGTGCAGCAGTGGCCATCTCATCTGCCAAGGCTGGGCAAGTCATATGGCAATACTGCAGCCAGGTGCTGCAATGTAAATTGCCCAGCCGGGTACTATTCCTTCATAAATAGGCACAGGGCTGACAAGCCAGTGATCATGTGTAGGCAAGGAAGGGGGCCCTGCACACTGGAACCCACTCTCCTTACTCTCAGGGCCAGCTGCATCATATGGTCAGGCCACAGACTGTGAATAAGTGAAATTACAAGTCAATAGCTGCATCATAGACTGTGAATAAGTGAAATTACAAGTCACAAATCTGTAAGTGATGAGAGTCTACCGCATTAACAATGTTATACAATTTAAAGACTATACTATGGTGTTTGATAAACTATACAAATTAAAGAATATACTATGGTGTTTGATACAGGTGCTTTTAATTGGGCATAACCAAAATGCCTAAATGTAACATGGCACTGTCACAAAACTGGGGAAATCTCTGAAATATTGTAGAGGTCCATTGAAATTTGTCATAAAGTACATTCAAATAAAATACTTCCATATGGACATGCATATGTGACAGCAACTGTTCGGGAAGTTGTTAAATTCCCTATGAATGTAACACACTAAAATTATGAAGGAAGTGCCACAGAAGTACACAAAAATGACACTTTACTTGTTTTTCTAGTGGCCCTTTTCTTTGTTTAATTTTTCAAAAGCTTGTTGGCGGCTTCCTGAAAATTATTATACCGATACCAGGGAAGTTGTTCTTTTTATACCAAGGGAAGTCAATATTGCAATGCTGCTGTATTGGTATAAGTGAAAATTACATTTTTTACACAAAGCATACACTGAAAAACCACTCCAAATTTAATTAAACAGATTTCTACAAACCTTGTGAGAGTTCAAATTGGGCAAAAGCTACATGCACAAAAGCAAATTTCTTGCAGTTCAGTCTAGCAAGATGAAACTGGTCACGTGCCTCTTCTGGATCTTGAATACTGCAAAGAATAATACTGACTTACAAAGCTTCTGTTGAAAAAAGTAGCACTTAAGGGTACAGAAAAGGCCATTGAAATGGATACCAAAATGTACCATAGAAAGAAACATTATACTTTCCTCTGCCAGTGATCAAATCTCTATACAAAATTCTCTCAAGATACCAAGAAATCATCTTTTCAAAAACAATGCAGACATGTTTATTTGTTAAAAATAATCAGCAAAGGGAATACAACCTAGCTTTCCCCCACCCTACAATAGTATATTGAAAGTGGCATCCTCATAACCTTCTGTTGAACAGATACTAACAGTACCTACTGTTCTGCAGACATGCTGTGTGGTGAGTCCAGCAATCCTAGGGGCTGGTTTCAAAAGGAAAGTAAACAGGAACAGTAAGACAAAAGCGGGCAAGCAGATCAGAGCATAAAGTAGTCTGATGGACTGATCAGCTCTTGCACATTCAGTGCCATAGTGACTTCATTCAATGTTATTTGAGAAGTTTTCCTAAAGACAGTGATTTTATAGCAAACCATCATTAGGCATGTGAAATTCAGAAATCTATTCACTGGAAATAAATATATACAATATTTGCTCAGAATACTGAATAGTTTGCATCTCATCAAGAACAGTAGACTGTGAACTATAAACCAAGTAAATATTCACTCGTCTACCACTTCAGAAACTATTTGACATTCAATTTCAACTTCTTAACAAAAACTATTTAAAGTGAAAAGCAATTATTTTTGAAGATATACACGTACATTTAATTACGTGGGAGAGAACAGGCTTGTGGAACCTGCTTCTTTCACTAATTCAAAGATAAATTGGTAATTAGAACAGGGTTAGCAGATAATCTAAATCAATTCAGACAAAACAGTCAATTTGTATGAAGTAATAATGACAACAATTTGTTTTGTTCCAAGACCACCAACATTACAACTCTACAAGAGCCACATGCTTAACTAGACTGAAAAAAATCACCATAAAAATTGGACTACCTAAAATTATTCTATGGGTACAAAAAACACAGTTAATCAACACCATAAATCCTAGAGAACTTAAATGAATTTCATGCCAGTTCTCTGATACTTACGCTTTCAATTCTGCAAATCTCACCAGGATGCGAGCATAACTTTCATTCTGGCTGTACTGTTCTACAGACAATTCTGCAATTGCTTGACTGTAACGGCCAATTAATCTATTCAATAAATCAATGTCAGTCTGAGGAATACCCTTTTTTTCCAGTTTAAGTAAAAAACTCAACCAATCTTCAGGATTATTTGCAGTCATTATAATCTGATTAACAGTTCCAGAATTATCTAAGAAAAATGAGAGAAAGGCACTCTTTGAGATTTAGTTACACAGATCAGACCCCCGAAATATGACCAACTCTTAATAGACTACAATCCAATACAGTCTAAACCCCTTGAAATAAATGGCCTTAGAATGGAATAACTATGCACTGTTACAGGCACAATCAAGAAAAGCACTCTAAATTTATTTTGGTTTCAGAATCCCTACCTTTTGACCTCACGATCCTCCAGTGGAAAAAATTGAATATTTGACTACCACCATCCTGGGAAATATTTGCCTTTCAGAATCAGTGAACTGCTTTTTGAAGCAGTAAAAAAGAGCAAGAGTCCAGTATCTGAAGAAGTGAGTAGTGACTCATGAAAGCTTATGCCCTACTACAAATGCTGTTAGTCTTTAATTTGCTACTGGACTCTTGTTCTTTTCTACTGCTACAGACAGGCTAACATGGGTACCCCTCTTGCTTTTTGAAGCAATATCTATAATATTGTTTTAGCTGCCTTTTATTTAAAATGCCTTAAACTTTCATTTAAAATGCTTTTTAATAAATTTTAATAACTATGCCTTTTAATAACTGCAGCACTAGGGAGGTACAATGGCAATATCCATGTACAACTTTCAGATCTTCTTGACTGCTTGTGGTGTCGTATCAGGACAACAAAGCTTACTGATAAACAAGTGTTACAGTATTTTGTATAGTGCCTTTGATACAAAGTTGATGGTTTCTATTTAACTCTCCCCCCCTTTTTCCAGTTGACTCAAACTAAAATATGCTTACTGCAATGTCTTCTACATAGGGTTGCCTTTGAAGAGAGTCTGGAGACTAAGTTGGTTCCGAAACCTGCTGCAAGACTATCTGGAGTCGACTGTAGCAACTCTCTCTGTCCAGTCTTGTTCCATGTGCTCTGGTTTCCAATGTACTTCCAGACCCAATTCAATATGCTGGCATTGACCTTTATAGGTCTGTACATCCTGGGAACTGCATATCTTAAGAAGTACTTATCCAACTATTAGGATTATCTTTGGCTGCTATCATCTGAGGCTAAATGGGTGGCAACCTGAGGAAGGGCCTTCCTAATCATGGCACTGAAATCATGGAATTTCTTCACCTTTTTCTATCTCCCTCAGTTTGTCTTCTGCCAGCAGGTGGGTTTTCCCCCCAATCTGTATCCTCATTGACCCCTCATTTGTTAGAACATAAGAGAATCCAATGTTGGATCAGGCCAATGGCCCATCCAGGCCAACACTCTGTCACACAGAGGCCAAAAATACCAGGTGCCATCAGGAGGTCCAGCAGTGGGGCCAGGACACTAGAAGCCCTCCCACTGTTGCCCCCCCAAGCACCAAGAACACAGTGCATCACTTGCCTCAGACTGAGAGTTCCTATCTATACCTTGTGGCTAATAGCCACTGATGGACTTCTGCTCCATATGTTTATCTAATTCCCTCTTGAAGCCATCCATGCTTGTAGCCGCCACCACCTCCTGTAGCAGTGAATTCCATGTGTTAATCACTCTTTTAATAGTTAGTTTTATATATGCTTTGTTTTATGTATGTATTGTTTTCAAAGTTGATTTTAGTCAGGCTGGATAAAAATCAATAGTTTTTAATATTAAAAAAAGGTTTTTTAAATTTAAATTGGATTTTTAAAATAAAATTCATTTTGAGGAAAAATGGGCTTGCGTAGTTCAATGAAGCTGTGGGCTATGCCGTGACGGGCCACCCAAGACGGACAGGCCACAGCAGAGAACTCAGACCAAGAGTGATCCCCTGGAGAAGGTAATGGCAACCGACTCCAGTATGTTTGCCAAGAAAACCCCATGGACAGTATCAAAAGGCTAAAAGATATGACGCCGGAAGATGAGCCCCTCAGGTCGGAAGGTATCCAATATGCTACTGAGGAAGAGCAGAGGGCAACTACAAGTAACCCCAGAAAGAGTGAAGCGGCTGGGCCAAAGCCGAAAGGACGCTCAGTTGTGGAAGTGTCTGATGGTGAAAGGAAAGTTCGATGCTGCAAAGAGCAGTACTGCATAGGAACCTGGAATGTAAGATCTATGAATCAAGGTAAGCTTGACGTGGTCAAAAATGAGATGGAAAGACTGAACATCGATATCTTAGGAATCAGTGAACTTAAGTGGACAGGAATGGGCGAATTTAACTCAGAAGACCATTATATCTACTACTGTGGCCAGGAATCTCGTAGAAAAAATGGTGTGGCCTTTATAGTCAACAAGAGAGTGCAAAAGTCAGTACTGGGATACAATCTCAAAAATGACAGAATGATTT